GACTCGATGGCACTTGACAACAACAACAACATTATAGATGGAGCTCCAGCCATGGTTGGCTCACAAAAAGGGTTAATTGTATTTGTCAAGAAAGAACTGAATTGTCTCAGTCTTGATTCAGTGATTTAATTATATGCTACTGCATCATATACCAAAAACGTCTCTGTGCTCAGTTGTTGTAACTCAGCAATGATGAAAATAGCAGTGTCATACATAAATTTTATCAAAAACAGTTTAATTGCCACCAGTTTAGGGAGTTACTGAATGATCTCGACTCCGAGTACAGTGATCTTGTTCATCATTGTGAAGTGTGGTGGCTGAGTTGTAAGAACAACTCAGTTGGTTTTACCAACTGCAGAGTGAAGTCAAGCAGTTCATGGAGAGGAAGGGAAAACCTGTCAGGGAACTCAATGATAGCAAGTGGCTGTGTGATCTAGCGCTCGTGGTAGACAGTAACCTGCTTCTCAGCTCCCTGCTTTCTAATGTGAAATCATTTGATGCTAAATTAAAGCTGTGGAAAGTGAAACTCAAAAGGAATAACATGGTGTATTTCCCCACTAGGGAAGGACAAAAGCCTTCTATGAGACTTGAAAATGCTGGTGAGTGTGTGAAACTAATTTAATGAAATTTAATGAAAGATTCAAGGACATGAGAAGTTAACAAATGGAAATGAACATCTTTGCTACATACTTCAAAGTGAAACAGTTGATGTGCCTGATAATCTATAAGAAATCATTCATCTGCCAAGAGATGAGCTGAAAGCTAGGTAAAATAACCTCCCACTTCTTGAGTATAAACATTACATAAGCAATAATGAATTTCCCACTTTGAGGAGACATGCACTGAAATATGCATATCAGAACAACTTATTGCTGCCAGCAGTTCTTATCAGAATTTACCATCACAAAGAGTCAACTGCGTTCCAGACTGACTGACTCAAACCTGGAAGAGCAGTTGCGAGTAGCAACATCAATACCAGTTAACATCACACACCTCATAAAAGAGAGGTTTGATGGCAGTTCCAGCCATCACGTTGTTGTTAAGTGCCATCGAGTCAGTTCCAACTCATAGCAATCCTGTATAGGGTTTCTGAGGAGCGGATGGTGAGCTTGAACTGCCGACCTTGTGCCTCAAGCTGACTTTTCAGTCCAGTGCATTAACCCACAGCACCACACCAGGGCTCCCCCATCACATTGTTGTTGTTGTCGTTAAGTGCCATAGAGTCGGTTCCGACACATAGCAAGGGCCCGGTTTCTGAGGAGGAGCTGGTGAGCTTGAACCACCAACCTTGCGGTTTAAACTGACTTTGCAGTCCAGCACATTAACCCACAGCGCCACACCAGAACTCCACCAGCAACAGTTGTTGTTGTTGTTAAGTGCTGTGTAGTTGGTTCCGACTCATAA